GACCAAATAACGACCCTGCGGGCGGGTGTTGTCTACCTATGCACCAAGTCGCCATGTGGTAGTATGAACCATCGAGCACCACACCTCCGCCCCAGCAACCTACCACCGCAACCCAATAAGAGGAAGCTGCATGCGGCGGAAAGCATCCTCCTCTCTTCCATTCTTCATTCTTTCTTCATATATACTTACCCAGTACTCCGTACAGTGTACAATCTAAATACTGCTCCCCATCTTATCCACTGAATGGCTGGAAGTCAACCCCGACTTGGCCCGCATTTCTGCGCCCATAGCCAATAATTCAAGCCCTGCAGTTGCCCCTGGCTAGAGAAGTATGTAGCCAACTGTATCATGCACGGGGAAAGGCTCATGTGGACAGATCAGATCGCCGGGTTCGCTGAGACACGTACTCCAGATTCACGCACTAAGAAAAGGGTACTTTTGGCAAGCCAGATCTACTCGTACTAATCAGCATACCTCCATGTACTCCATATACTGTATACCCCGAGTCCTTGGGAATTGGCCGACGCAGGCGCGCTCTGTTCTCACTATTGCAAGGTATGCACATCTTGATCGATCAACTATTCCTCGCCAAGAGAGTGAAGGACAACTTAACTAGATTCTCATGGCCGGAAATTAGCGGCAACGAACTCTCATTATTGGGATGTTCCCTCGCGGGGTTGTGACTGTGGACTTTTGCCACTTCACATCTTCACATTCCGTGAGCCTAATCATGTGCCTGTAGTTCAATGTTCTCGTCTGTCTGTCTGATCGGAGAGAATCTGATGTCTGTGTGAGAGATATTGCGCTTTATCGATTTCACACATGGGTAGCGGCTTGAATGGTGACCTTTTACCTTCCATTTTCCCGCGTCCTTAATCTCTAACATCTAATACCGGTACTCCGGATGCAAAGATCCTGACAGACCACATTAGACAGTCGATCTGTCATTCCGATATCTCCAGATAAGACGATCCAGTGCCCATCTTTATACATCTGTTATTAATTCGCCTTTCCCCCCCCCCTTTTGGCTTTGCGCCATGGTACAGACCGCGGAGTAGAATACCATACTTTCGTAGCTCGGCTAAGCGACCATCGACCCTATAATTGAGTTCTTCTAGAAAACGACCCGAAAATGTGACAAGCGAATCGTAGGTTTGAGCTCGGTGGATCCCCCTTCGCCAAGCGGGACCGTGTATTTTTTGTTTTTTTTCCCTCCCTCCTTCCCCCCCTTCTACTTCGCTGGTGGGCTTTAACGACCTCGGTGCGAGGAAAGAACAGTTGTGTCGGAATAAACTGAACTTGTGTACTAGGAACTACGTAGATGTGGCCTAAGCTGAGCCGGGCCGAGTTGAGCTGGAGATATGCTCGCCGCCCAACTGAGTCGATCAGGGTCGAATCTCGGACAAGTTCTGTAGTTCGCTCGGCATGTGCAATGCGTTCGAGAAATGGAGAGATCGGATTCATCGGAGGTAGTGATCTTGCTGCAAGATCTAGACTGCTTCTAGGTTAGTTTGTCATGCTAATACTTGTAAGTCTATGACTAGATAGGTACCTTGCTTTAGTGTGTCCTTTTCTGTCTTCGTGCAGATGTTGTATCATCGGGGCAAATGCATATGGTGTCGATCTTTGTGAGCTTTGGATGTTCGGTGATAGATCATGACTGAAGCGGAGGGTGAAAATGTACCATCAGAACAGATACAGGTAGCAACATCATGCTGGGCTGAGTGTTTCGCCGTATCTTTTCTACATCACAATACATTTGTAGAATGAGTTGAGACTCTTCGACCTGATGTTCTCGGTGGCGACTTCTTGATTCCCAGCGGTTCGCTACACAAGCTTGGCTCAATGCAGCACAGACAAAAGCCAGGAAACTCCCCGATCGTCTATGTTCGAGACGTGGCAAGCATTTGATTGACATTATGCAGCGCTTCGAGAACTCTGACAATTTAGTCCGTCTATACTATGGCTCTTAGCAGTACTTCGGGGCTGAAGACACAGCTGTGCCGCTTATGCGTATTGCTGCCAGTGCTCAGCTGGCTGAAATCGCAGCTGTGCGCTTGCGCTCTCGCGCTTGAGCTGAGGCCATAATAGCATGCTAGCTACAATTCCACGCCACAGGCGCTTCTTACTCCTTCTATCTAATGCACATGTACATACATGTGTATCTAGTAGTATCATCGTGCGTCTTTTTCTTTGTCTTTCTTTCTTTCTTTTTTTTTTTTTTTTTGCCTCACGTGCCTGGTCAGATATACTATTAGGGTCGAGCCAATAGGAACAATGACGCGCGATGCAAACACTGCAAAGTGGGCTCTTTAATTTTCTTGCCCGCAGTATGGAGATTTTCCCCGGCCGCCTTTGGAAGCGGCCGCGCTCGAGACGGAGTTCAACACCCCCAGAATTCCAGGCACGGGGATCTTTTTTTGTGTCCACTGTTCACTATCCCCCTCACTTTGTGCAGAATTCACCCAGCTATCATGGACCCCGCGTCTATTCAGGAGCAAGTGCACTCGCACGATGCTGCCGACAGCACTCAGGAGCCTCCCTCCAAGAAGGTCAAGCTGGACGATGCGCCGAGTACCAATGCACTTGCACCTGCAGCTGCTGAGGCCGACCCGCGGCTCAAGGGTGTCGCTCCGATCAAGGCTGAGTATGCGACCCGCCGCAATTTTTTTCGAGCCGCTTCACCCAACGGTCACTGATCGTCAAATCCAGGTACCTTTTGCCGCGATCCGACAAGAGCCAGCCCACCGCCGAGCAAGAGAATCAGGACGATGCCGCCGAGGCCGCCCACCACGATGGCCGCAACAGCAACAACAACACCGAGATGAAGGCCCACCAGTACCAGCAGAAGAAGAACAAGAAGAAGACCGGCCAGAACACTAACCGGACCTTTGGCCGGTCGGAGGATGCAAAGGGTCTCTGCCCGAGCCGCATGTTCCAGCCCGAGTTCTCTCCCGCCGAGTGCAGCTTCGGCGAGAAATGTCGATTCGAGCACGACCTGCGCATCTACCTCAAAGAGCACAAGCGGGAGGATCTGAACACCATGAACGGCGTTTGTCCGGTATGGGATACTCATGGAAAGTGCTTCTCCGGCTGGAAGTGTCGGTTCGTGGGCTCGCACTCTGAGGAGCGGGAGACTGAGGACGGGAGAAAAGAGCTGGTTCTGATCGAAGATGAAGAGCGCAAGAACAAGGTGCAGCGGCTGGTCCCCCAGGCTTCGGAAGAAGGCGTGTTGAACATCGCCGCCATGGACGATAAGCTTGCGCTGGCCCGGAAGAAGAAGCATCTCCCCAAGGCAGAGGCGTATTCGAATTGGTTGGAAAAGACGAACAGGGCCATCGAGAAGGATCTCCACAAGCGCGATCGGGTTGGGACCACCGAGGTGGAGGATGGTACCAAGGAAGAGCAGGAGGACAACCGCGCCGCCTACGTTGAGCCTCCTTTGCTTCCGTCTGAGAAGCGCAGGCTCTATTTTGGTCCCGAGACCCCGGCCTTGGCTCCCTTGACGACACAGGGTAACATGCCCTTTCGCAGACTCTGTGTGGAGCTTGGCGCGCAGCTTACTTATTCGGAGATGGCCATGAGTCTGCCATTGATCCAGGGGCAGAAGTCAGAGTGGGCTCTGATGAAGGCGCATGAGTCGGAAATTGCTCCCCCGACGGTTTTTCCTGGTTCGGAAATTGTGCAGGACTACGACAACTCGAAGGACATGAAGTTTGGTGCTCAGATTGCGGCTAACAAGCCCTGGCAAGCTTTCAAGGCCACAGAGGCCCTGTCGCAAATGACCCCTCACCTACGTCTCATTGATCTGAACTGCGGCTGCCCTATCGACCTTGTCTTCCGTGAAGGTGCGGGCTCTGCTCTTCTCGAGCATCCGTCCAAGCTCGAGAAGATCATTCGTGGCATGAACACCGTTTCCGGCGAAATTCCCGTCACCGTCAAGATCCGTATGGGTACCAAAGACAACTCTCCCAATGCTCTGAAGTTGACCGAACGCCTTCTGCTTGGAGGCTACGAGTCTCATCTGTTTGGCGGCGGCGGTGCGGGAGCGGCCGCTATCACTCTTCACGGGCGGAGCCGACAGCAGCGGTACACCAAATCGGCCAATTGGGAGTATATCTCCGAGTGCGCCGCTCTTATCAAGCGACTGAATGAGAAGCAGGACGAACTTGCCGACACCATCCGGGAGCCCGATGCTCGCACGCAGCCCAACGGTGGGAAAGTCTGGTTCCTCGGCAATGGTGACTGCTACTCTCACATTGACTACGATGAGCATATTAACAATGCGGGCGTCGACACTGTCATGATTGGCCGCGGGGCTCTAATCAAGCCTTGGCTCTATGAGGAGATCCAGGCTGGCCAATACCTTGACAAGTCCTCAAGCGAGCGTCTTACATACATCGAGAAGTTCGCCAAGTATGGTCTCGAGACCTGGGGATCCGATGAGCATGGTGTTGGCACGACTAGACGCTTCTTGCTGGAATGGCTGAGCTTTGCCCGGCGATACGTGCCTCTCGGTCTGCTCGAATATCTCCCACCCCAGATCAACGACAGACCTCCGGCTTTCCGGGGCAGAGATGACATGGAGACCTTGATGGCGAGTACCAACTACAAGGATTGGATCAAGATCACGTAAGTACATCCATTACTGGCTGTCAGGTTCGTGGTAACCTTAAAATAATTCTAACCTATCACTATAGGGAAATGTTCCTCGGTCCTGCACACAAGGACTTCAAGTTCGAGCCGAAGCACAAGTCCAATTCATATGACGAAGCGGAGGGTTAGATTTCATGTAGCGCCTAGACCAAGCTTGAACAAATGTGAACACCTTGTACATACTACCACTGGCATATCCAGACTTAGCCGGTTTCAAACCTTAGGGGTAAACTTGGGGGTTATTTTAGGCCAGCTATGACGCACTTGGACCGGCACTATCCAGCAAATGGGGCTGGTCACGTGCGGCGTCTCAGCTCCGGGCGGTGATGACGTCTGTCCCTCACCAGAAACTGCAAAAAGACCACCTCATCCCCCGTACACACAACAGACAATCTTCCTCTTCTTCACAAGCATCGGCCAATTGGTGACTATATCAGGGGTCTTTATCCCGGCTATCTGTGGAATTATAATTTGTCTTTGAGAATTCTACGGTATCAAGTCGCTCCGACAGCTTTTGTTTATCCTGCCTTGCTACCCATCGCACCTTCACCCCTCAATCAAGCTTGAACGAAGCGTCAGGCACAGCATCTAACCACAATCAGTAGCAGCGCAACTGTTTCATCAACCTATACAAAATGACTCTCTACTACAGTCTTGTAAGTGTTGTTGCCCAGATTGTACTCCCCGTGGACATCCTATGAGCTCGGGATAATGCTGCAGCCTGCAGCCCCTTGACCATCGGCGCGCGGCGCTCCTCCCAGACCTCAAGACCGGCTTTTCCACGATGAATGCTTACTGGATGTATCTAGGTCTTCTGCCTTTTGGTGTTCGAGATGGCGGTCTTCATGGGCCTCATCATTCCTCTTCCGTTCACCGTTAAGAGGAAGCTCTTTGCCTTCATCTCAGAAAGTCCTATAGTGGCCAAATTACAATATGGGCTGAAGGTAAGTGTGCCCTGGCTCATACACCACGCTCAGTAGCGAGCGATTTAACTAAGACTAAACTTAGATCACATTCATCTTCATCCTCATCCTCTTCATTGACAGCGTCAACCGCGTCTATCGGGTGCAGTTAGAGTTAGCTTCCTTCAAGGAGGGCGGTCCTATGGGGTATGTATCAGGCTCAAGCCTCTTCGTCAGCTCACAGCAGACGAGCTAACACCCTTATTTAACCAGAGCCGCCGCCCTTGGCACAGACCGTATGGAAGTCCAGGCCCGCAAGTTCTACTCGCAGCGCAACATGTACCTGTGCGGCTTCACTCTCTTCCTGTCTCTCATCCTCAACCGCACCTACACCATGATCCTTGAGGTTCTTCGCCTGGAGGACCGCGTCAAGCTTCTGGAGGGTGACAAGCGCGCTGGTGGCAAGGACTCCGCTCGTCTCGCGCAGGCCGGCGATGTCGGCGAGATCGGCCGTCTCAAGCAGGAGCTCGAGGCCAAGGATCGTGACATCGAGACTCTGAAGAAGCAGTGCGAGGGTCTCACGGCTGAGTACCATAAGCTGGGTGACCAGGTCTCCGCTGGCAACAAGGATGTCGCTCCCAAGAAGGATCTGTAAGCGAAGGACAAGGCGCAATCGCAACGTGCAACAGTCTCAATGCTTTCTTGCCGATGAGTGTATTGCAAATTTGCTGGAAGATTGGAGTTCAAAATCAGAGAGATGGGAGATAAGTGGGGATAGATGAGGGGCAGGATGGGAAACACAAGCAGTTAGGAAGCGCTTTGCTCTGCGAGACGTCTTGATACTCATCCTTTGCATCTCTGGTGGGGGCCTTGCCTAATTACGTTTTCTTCGATTTCGATATTTAGGAGATTCAGACTGTGAAAGCTGAGCGAAGTGGCATTTTATCTTTTTCGAAGGTCTGTCATCATTGTTCCTGGCTGAGTGGTCAGTCGTGAGCATCGTGTGCCGAAGCAAACGAGGTCCCCATGAGTGTAGGGGCATAGTATGATTTGGTTGTTATAATTACAATGAGGTTGGCAATGATTTGAAGGTTCTGGAATCAGTTTTTCCCACGCGTAAATCTCAGAAAGGACCAACCTCGAATTATTGGCGGTAGCGCGTGTCCTACGTGCTACCTAGTACCACACGAGAACGAGTTCAATGACAATGGTTGATTTAGATGGGAAAGTAGCGCTTGGCCTGCATTGACCATCCTCTGTTCCTTCGAGGCTCTGCAACTGCCCTAGAGATGTGGTCCTTCCTTGCCATTTCGCCCCCAAAATCTCAGTGAATATCATGTTGTCAGCAGACCAGGCCCAAGAATATTTATTTCTCTCATACCACTACGGATCTTTCTCTCTAGTATTATGTACTTGCCTATCAAATGGGGAAAGGCAATCGTTGCCACGTTCGCGCAAGGTGAAATGCCTAATCTATGGGGTATATGATCCATTTGTATCAGACAAGGACACGCCATAACGGGATATTTCTCACTTCAATTACTGGAAGCTTCCGCTGTAGAGCAACCGATGTTGTCTGGGGAGATCGAAGCCTGAGGTGTTGGAGTTGCCCATCGCTGCAGCAGTGCGCTTTCTCTAATAGACTTACTAAAATCCCACCACGCAAAAGAGAAAATCAAACGCGTCGTGGCTGAAAACAATCCGACAAGCAGTCGAAGGACAGTAAGGGCCTATTCGTTGCCTTTCTTCTGAATCAATTATCTTTCCTTGGGAGTTCCTGATTCACAAGCTATCGCTGGTGTTGCATCTGCATTGCCCTCTGCGTGTGCCGAGACCCAGCTCGGTGAACAGCAGAGCGACATTTCAGACCACTCACTGCTGTTGTGTTATTTCGTGTGAAAACTGGGAGCATCTGAGCTCATTCATACTAAGAAAGTCCAGAAACTCGGATAGACAAACTCCTCCTCGAAAATTCGTCGCACTTGCGCCAGAACAAACCGCTCGACCTTGCCAACGTTCTTCAGGACCTGCTTTCCATCCTCCTTGCGGCCAATTTCACTTTCGACCCGGATTTCCTCCAGTAATCCTCCATGACGTTTGGTTTGCTCAGCCCGCGGTTTGTCTTCCTGCCCTCCTGCGGCATCTTGCTGATCGGATCCGATCAACGCGTCGGCATCCTCGGGGGATAGGAAACAAAAATGCACCCGCTTGCGGATGTGTGCGATTACTGCGACGCCATCGAAGGTTATGCCAGTGACATTCAATTTCAGGGGCAAGCCCACGAAACTGGGCATAGGATAGTCCAGAAGGATCTCCGCAGTCAGCGACAGGCGCACGTCCCCTCCATATTTGACATGGCACAGAACCTGCAAATCTTCGGGCCGGCGTTCTCGCAATCGAGGCAGCCGAAGAGGTTCCGCCGATGCGGAGTCGCCAAGGTGTCCGTTCTCCTGTGTGCGTGCCATGTGGCTGCTACTACCTCCTGCTGCTGCTCCTGCTTCTCCACCGCCGTTGCTAGAACCACCCGGGTGCGAGGGGAGCGTGCTTGATGTCGATGGGCGTGAGGTTGGATTGCTGCTGTCTAGATCGGCTTCGGGATGTTGCGAATGCACTGCATCGAAGGGTGAGGATGACAAGGGCCCTCTGCTCCTTGCGCCCATGCTGCTCGGATCATTCCAGCTGTTTGTGAACGGGTTTCCGCCGGCAACCGCAGCCAGAGGCGTCTGTGTTCCTGATAGGCCACCCAAAGACATCAGGTGATAGCCCAGTGTTGACGTTCCTCCGGGAATACCAGGAGTGCCGGCGCGAGGAAGGAAGTGCGGGTTGAGATGGTCACCGAGAGCTATCGGGGAACGCAGAGCGGATGGCTGAAACCGCTCATCGAATGGGTTGCGAAGCGGTTGATGCATGGCATTTTCATCCCGGAACGGCGGCTCGCTGAGCTCTGAGCCGGTGCGATGCCACTGAGTGCCATGTCCGGAGACAAGCTCCTCAGACACGTCGGAAGCCTCATCGTCTTCATCCTCTTCATAGAAATCGGCGAAGGGTTCGCAGAAGTCCTTGATCTCGAGCTCCGGTGGGATGGTTCCGAAGTCAAACGAATGGACCTGAACGGATCGGATAAATCGCGGAAGAGCTACCTGCTGGAACTTGTCATGGATGAAGGAGCGAATGCGCTCAGCCAGAGCCTCGCCGTCCGGACCCGAGGTCGCTGTGCCCCAGTCAACTTCAATGGACATCACATGTGCGGAAAGCGGTCTCTATACAAGGAAAGAGATGCAGAGCAGGTACGGCAAGGGCGGACTAAGCTGATGAGATGAGGTGGTTCAAGGTCACTTGGAAGTGCGGCGACTAGTTAGTACGAGGTACGTAAGTTACTCAGTACGAGTAAGTCGGAAGAGTCAAGCCGATCGATGATCGGGAGGGAAATCGTTCGGCAGTTTCTCGGCGGTCTGGTGACTATCACGTGCTCTGAGGGCAATGTGACCGACCGCCTTCCATCAACATCATCAACGACAACAATTCATCCTATGCTTTCAATAAATTTCAACAATGCCTCATTCTAGAGACTCTCGGCATCACCCTGCTACTGGGTCTATTTGACTATGCCACGTTGAGGAAGAGAACCACCAGCAGAGGTCATGACCCCTAAGTTAACCGGCACAGACGGTGGGCACACCGCTTTGGGTTTAACTGTCCCAGCAATCTGGTTCTCCCTTCTCCTAGGCCGAAGGACTGGTCCTGCGGCGCTGTTCTGGTCATTACCCAAGCAGTGCGCATTGGCTGGCACATCCTGGTGGACCAGGATGCTACCATGGTCCAGCTCTGCGACACGGCCGCCCTGAGGCCACAAGGTCGGACTCTATCACATCTCCCCACCACCCTAAGCAAACTCGGACCCAACAATGGCGCATCGCGATCATGCTCACTATTGGCTCTTTTTGGAGCTTCTTGAATGCCCAGGATGAGGTCCGGACGACCAGGATGGTGCACTGTGCAGTGGTGCGGCACAAGTGAAAAGACAAGCATGCCTATCCACAGCTTAGATTAATCGCAAGGGTTATTCGTCCTGGGACCCAAACAGGGATCAACAGCCGGTGGTTTTCTCCCTCGTGGCGCCAATCTCTGTGCCGGAATCTCTCCGCATTATTTTCCGACATGATGGCCTACCAAGACGCCGCAATTTGAGCGCCCGCAAGGGCGCCACGTAACGCTGCATTTCTCCATCGGGAGGCTCGTTATTGTACCCAGCACAGTGAGTGAGGGCCTGCCAGCCAAGTCGCAGATACGAAGCAGTACCCTTTGAATCATGTCTCAGAGATCTTGAGTCCAGAGAAGCTACCATTGCCTTTATGACGCCAAGGTCGATCGTTGGGCAGCGCGCAGACAGTCAGTCCTAACCTAGCGCATGCCAGACCCAGACTCCTATTGTCCGCTCCCTTCTCTATTTGTCATTACTTCTAGGCGCGGTGATTGCCCGCCTGCCTGCGCGTGGTAGGTGCCACGGACAGTTCCGCGAGAATGCTGGCACCACTTATTCCTCTTGTTCGCCGCTGCCTGCAAGGCTTACAAGTCGGCAACACCTTAGGTACTTGGTATCAAAGTCATCACCTGGGTCTGTGCCCCAGTCTCTTTCGGTGATTTGCCGGTAGCGCCATCAGGTGATTTGTGGCGTATGCGGTGCTAATGCAGCTCTCTCGACGGACCCTTGCACTCCAACGTCAAGGCTTTGGCTTTGGGGGTCCGCAGGGGGAACGGACGACCGACCATGAGCCTGCATACATCCGCACACACATTACCCAAGAATAATGCCACGGCCGATCCCTACTTTTCCATGTATGAAGGGTTTCTACAACAACCCGCCGTCAATTCACAGGAACGCCAGTACCAGGAAATGGTAATGTGTCACGTTGGCAAATAGAATAGATAGTGCATTGGAATGTCCAACAGCAGCACCGCTAGCTGTAAGCTTCCAAGCTCCCAGCCTTGGGATGGGGACGCGTAGCTGCGGGAAACCCTCTATTCCATCTCGCGTGTTAGACTGAATGATAATTTAAATGATTCGATGACCCGGCGGGTCATCTCCCCTCCACCAAGCAAGCAAGCAAGCTACTTACATATACGTAGTATTAAATAGTCACAGGGGTGATTTCGATCATATCCGCATGCCTAGTGCTTGCTTGGGTGGGACTCCACCTGTCCAGTGCGGCTCCAACACCCGGCCAACACCGAACGTGTGTGACTGCCGGTCGAACCAAGGTTGAGACCAGGCGAACAAAGGAGAGACACCCTGAGCAAGAGTGGATTTATTTGCCCACGGCGCTGGGACAGCCCGCTATCCATGGGAACGCACCACGGCTATTTCATCACACAACCTTCTCTTTTCCTTTTCCTCCCCGCTCTTCCCCTTGTTGCATAAAGGACAGGGAGGGCATGGAGAAACAACCTTGCCACAGTGACCACAATGCCTTTCAGAATCGTCAAAGGCAAAATCATGATATAATCACGAAAACTTGCGCCCTTCGCCTAGTTCTACGAATTGGACGCGATTGACCAGTAGCTGAGTGGGTTAGGCAATACGAGATCCGAGATCCGAGCTCGATCCGATGGTTCGTTTCTCTCCCTCCCTCTCTCTCTCCATTGTTCCTTGGGGAGTGAGGATCCAGAAGTCAAAGAGGTTGGTTTGTAAGGAGGATCCCGGAAATGATTTCCTCAAGACAGTAACAGTTTATAAATCAAAAGAGTGTATCATTTATGCTAATGCTGATGCTGATGCTTGTGCTTGTCGTTTGACAAGACGTTGCTTCAGCCATAAGTGACTAGCTAAGATTGTCAACGACAGAGGAAGCTATGAAAGACGAGATCTGAAACCAGAATAGAAATATGAGGGGGGGGGAATTGTGTTGCAATGCAAAGCTGTAAAGCGAAGAGCTGACTGAGCGGCAAAGCAAATAATGGTGGTTCCTCTTCCTAAGGCCAGAAATGAAAGTGCAAGGATGCCGACAACAACAACAACAATGAGAAGAAGAAAAACATGCTCATAAAAACAGTGTGCGATCAAGATAAGAGTGCCTCCGAGATTGTGTAAACAGAAATGAGATCCAAGATCAAAAAACAAGGAGAGGGGATGAGTTAACCCCCCCCCTCCCCAATGGATCGACAAGAGGTACGCTACAGCCAAGAAAACATAGAAGCAAACGGCAGGAGAAAAAGCAAAGTAAGAAGTGTCAACAGTGTATATATATGCCACGATGAGAATGATGATGAAATGCATAATGAGCGAACAACGATGACCTCCCAAACTGCGAAAAAGAGCATGAGAACAAAAGAACAAAAAAGCTAGTCAGCTATACCACCCGATTCCCGCCTTTTTGAATCGCCCTTTCTATCTCCTCGTGAGTCGAGGCCGAGTTTTTTTTCGGTGTGCTTTTTCTGGTCGGATTTTCACCTTTTTTTGAGGGTTTTCTCTGCTTTTATGTCGGTGTTGCGGTTGCGCCGATGGAAAAGACTCGATGGAGAGAAATCTGTCTCACTCGCCTTCTTCATGAGTGTGGCTCGAGCTTAGATGGAGAGTTGTTGACGGTCTCCAGGGTGTGCAATTGATTGCCTTCTTGCCCCCAATACTTTTGTCAATCTGCAGGATGGTGACAAAAAAACCGGCACCTAGCTCAGGCCAGGCTCCCTCCCTAAGCTTCCCTCGGCGGCTGCCTGCGCCACCCATGCAGTTAGTTTCAAAGTATGCTCTGTGTATCCACGGTTGGATCCGGTAGTCTTGGGTCTTGCGCAGGTGGATCTTCGGTAGTGGTAGTACTCACAATTGGGGTCCGGATCTAAGGACCACCATGCTCAGGGCAGTTGTAGCCCTCCCGGCGCCGGATCTGCGTTCGCACTCCGGTGCACGAGGTGCCTCGCTTTGCGCAGAAGACCACATCGCCCTCCGCAACGGTGCAGCCGCAGTCGAACTTGAGGTAATACTGGGAGCACATCTTGACTGATTGGGTCTTGAGGGTGGTGGTCTGGGTATGGGAATAGGCGCAGATGGGTGAGCGGAGAAGATGCAGTGACGAACAGCAGGCAAGATTGACTTGTGATAGTGGCAGAGGGCTCAAACGGGTTTCGAGATTGAGTGGAGAAGGAGGCTTCAGAGCTCAGAGGAAGTGCTGATTTGGGTCGCGGAGAGGAAAGCTGATGTTGCCGATGAAATTGAATCTCTGGCCGGGTTGTGCAGGCCCTTAAATAAAAAAATCTCGCGGTCTGATGGACGCAGACTTCCAAAATCTCCAAGTGATAAAGAATGACTGCGGTCGACTGTGCCGCAACAAGCCTTTCTACGCCAACTGATCAAGATGGCCCAGCAACTGTGACTCAAGCTGTGAACTTTCAAAAGAAATCGAAACTGAAATAATAATAACAATAATAATGATGATAATAATAATAATAATAATTCCAATGACACTCTTAGTTGACCACGCGAGAAGGGGAAATTAAAATTGAAAATAGTGAAAGAAATAGGAAATAGGAAAAAGAAACATGTCGAGACGCTAGAAGTGTGGTAGAAAAGAAGTAAGAAGAAGGTTAGTTAGCAAGGAACGGGGATCTAAACTACGCATGCATGTTCCTTTGCTTTTTTTCCCTTCTTCTCGCTTTTTCTTCTCTGTCTTGCTCGCATTTTCCCTTTTCGTGTATTGTGTCTTTCATGGTCTCACTTTGTCATTGAGTGACACTCTTTCTGGATCAGATGAGAGTCTGTGCCGTAAACAGTTGGCGATTCGGTCTACATCACATCCGCAATCCACTCGTGGAGCGGGCCTGCAATTGATACTCTCTGGATTCTGCCAGTGACTACACCATCACTACCATACCCTCGATAATTGGCGGTTATGCAAATTATTCTTGAGTTAACAGCCACCTGAGGTCAGCCTGGGGGGCATCCTTTCCCCAGTGAAGGAAATGAACGAATGCGACTAACAAAGGTCATGCATGAAGCCGGAAATCATTGGAAAACCCTTGTCGTAGGGAATATTAAACTTCCGCAGCTGCATCGAGGGAAGTTGACATCATCTTCACAATTACGATACCCCTGCAGCAGGGAAGGTCGGTCACATATGCAGATGGAAGGCCAACCAGATCAACGATCAAATCAGCTTGCGTCAACGATCCAACAGTTCTGTATATGTATGGGGTCATGCCGCAACTCGGGCAGAGCTCGAAACGGAGCATCTGACGCACGTCATGCTGCAGGCTGGGGAGCCTGTCATCCACAAAGTGCGTTCAGCAACGCATGTCACTGTCTATCATGTGTTCGGGAGGCCTGGGTAACTGGGGGAGAGGGGAAGCAAGGATGACATCGTAGAGCAAGCCAATATGATCGCACCGATATCAAGGTTCAGTAATCCCCCACCTGCCGGTCTTGGTGGGCACTTGGACGCTGCTCGGCCGGAAGGCTGCGTGGTAATAGTTGATCGATGAGCCACCTGCTCCTGTCAGGGGTTGGCGCAGTTCCTGGGCACGCTTTCTGACCCACGTTCAGA